CTTTCTTTCTTTCTTTCTTTCTTTCTTTCTTTCTTTCTTTCTTTCTTTCTTTCTTTCTTTCTTTCTTTCTTTCTTGTTTATCTCCCTTTCAGCAGGTCATGAGCTTTTTCTATTTATTCATTGATACACCCAGAGCCCTGGAAAGTTCCTGGAACTTGGCAGGTGCTCAGTAATGTTTGGTGAATGAATGAATGAATTGAACTCTATTTATTGATAGAGAAAAGTGAAGCCCACAGAAGATGCAGGATTGGTGGGAGTGCCCCCAGCTGGTCATAGGAAGCATTGGGTTCTATTCCAGGTCTCTCTGACTGCAAAGCTCAAGTTCTTCTTTTAATAGTGATATGTGGGTGTTTTTAAAAAAATATGTTCTTATTGATTTCTTTTTTTTAGAGAGAGAGAAAGGGAGAGAAAAACATTGAGTGACCTCCTACACACCCTACTGGGGCTCAAGCCCGAAACCCAGGCATGTGCCCTGACCAGGAATCAAACCAGCGACTTCTTGGTGCAGAGGACAATGCTCAACCCACTGAGCCACATCGGCCAGGGCCCAAGCGCAAGTTTTTAACTGGACTATTTTGTGACTTTTATAGCTAGACCTCATCACAACCCTAAATGTTAGTCTGTCATCAATACTCAATTCACAGGCAGTAAAACTCACACCTAGAGAGGAAAGGGGGACCCGCAACCAGTTGGTGGAAATGGCACGGCTGGCTATTTGCCTCAGGGTAGGATTTCCGGTACTAGCTTCTGGCACCCACTGGTCACTCAGTAAATGCGTCATGACTGGTTCAGAGTGGGTTTATAGTAAAGCTCACGTAAGCTTCCGGGCCCATGATTGGCATAAGTCAGTAATGGCGAACCTATGACACGCGTGTCAGAGGTGACACACGAACTCATTTTTTTGGTTGATTTTTCTTTGTTAAATGGCATTTAAATCTATAAAACAAATATCAAAAATAGAAGTCTGTGTTTTACTATGGTTGCAAAGATCAAAAAATTTCTATATGTGACACGGCACCAGAGTTAAGTTAGGGTTTGTCAAAATGCTGACACGCCGAGCTCAAAAGGTTCGCCATCACTGGCCTAGACCCTTCCAAGACCCTACCGATATGTTCTTATGGTCTCGTTTAAAGGAGGACATTTAAAATGCAACTGGTTGCTACCACTGTCTTTTTCCAGTTCCCTTCCCCCTGTAGCACTTCTCTTTACCATGGTGGCGATGGAGTAGTCAGGCATTTATGGGACCTCGCTGGGGGGAATGGGGTTTGAGGATACACTGGGTTCTGTGGGTTACTTGGTGGGGTTCAGAGACACTTTCGGGTAGACTTAAATGACCTACCGAGTTTCATGGTGTAGGAATGGCTTCCAGGAATGCTCCTAACGTCCAGGGTGCTAGCTCAGTAGATGCAAGGCCTCCGTCTATAGTGGCATGACCTGTCCTATAAGTGTCTCACTCCAGAAGCACCTCACAGGGGAGTTGAGTGAATAATTAAAAGGAATGAGCCAAGCCCTAGCCGGTTTGAC